TGGGAAAAACATTTAAAGAAAATAGGGTAAAACTTCACTTTAAAAAAATTAAAACAAACCAACAAAAAACACTCTTCAAAGTTTCTTGAAATCATGGAGTTGGTCAGTATTTTAAAGTTGAAGGCCATTGAAGGAAAAACATTAAAGAAATTTCTATTATAAACAGTGTGCTCTCAGTGGACTTCCAGTCAAGATGAGGGCACAGGTAAATGCGGCATCACCTCCTCCACAACCACATCAAAATTACAATTAAACTACAACACAACCATCATTCAGAGCCACCTGAAATCGAGCTGAATGGAAGTCCTACAACTACAAAATTAAAGAAACACCCACACCCGGACTGGTAGGAGGGGCGCAGGTGCGGAGGACACCAACATGTGGCAGATAAAAATCAGGAAGGACACTTCTGCTGGGAAGGTCCTCCCTGAGGAGTGAGGGGGCCCTGTCCCACACCAGGCTCCCAGCTCAGGGTTCCAGTGCCAGGAAGAAAAGTCTCTATAACTTCTGGCTGGAAAAACCAGCAGGAACTGAGGCAGGGGGAGGCTGAGGCTGTGGGAGCCCTAGGCAGTTCCTCTTAAAGGGCCCCAGGCAGTTCCTCTTAAAGGGCCCCATGTACAAACTTACTTGGACTTGCTCCCTCTGAGCTCAGAGGGGAGGCAGCTTGAGGGGCACCAGAGACATACAGGGAAAAACTGAGCTGTTTGGCCTCAGGACAAGGGCTGGAAGAACAGCTTTCTTCTGGACAGAGGTGCCGGCGAAGGCTGATGTTCCTTTGGTGAGCTCTTCACTGGGATGGCAGATTGCTGCCATATCTGGGACTCCAGCAACCTGGCTTACACTGATCCCGAGCCCCACCACCAGCCAACTTTCAGGCCCACCCAAGCTATCTCCAAAGGATTTACCATAGGATTGGTCTGTCTTGGATCCTGCTTCAGAGTTTCCTAAAATCTCTCAAACAAGAAGCATCTGGTCTCAGCGAGCCCCATATCTCTCTTTTAGTAGCCCCAGGCCTGGCACTAGAAGCAACCAGCTTTGGTTCACAACTCGGCTTTTCCTGGACACCTCCAAGCCCAGCACAAGAAGCAGCCATCTGCAGACCACCTTGTAGCTTATGCCAGGTGGCCCCAGATAGAACACAGGCAGTAGCTGACCTAGCCCCAGAGCCAGCACACCCAGTGGACAGCTTCAGACCACACTGAAACACCACCACCCAACCAGCTCCACAAGAGACACACTCAATGAGCAGACTCAGTGGGTACCAGAGCCCTGATGAAGTAAGTCTTGCTCTGTGTGGTGAGCCCCTACATAGAAACAATCACAGGGAAGCAGCCAAAGTCTTTGAGGAGACAAAGAAACATGTTCCAAATAAAAAAAAAAGAACAAAACTCCAAGAAAAGAACTAAACAAAATGGAGTTAAGCAATCAATCAGATGCAGAGTTAATAATGCAGGTTATAACGTTGCTCAAGGAACTTGGTGAGACCTTCAAGGGACTTAGTAAGACCTTCAAGGAACTTAGTAAGAACTGCAAGGACCTTAGTGAGAACATCAACAACATCAAAAAAAGACCAGTCAGAAATGAAGGATGCACTAACTGAAATAAATAATAATTTACAGGGATCAATAGAAGAGTAGGTAAAGCCAAGAAGCAAACCATCGATTTTGAATATAAGGAAGCAGAAAACACCCAATCAGAACGGCAAAAAGAAAAAAAAAATCCAAAAAAATGAGGATAGTGTAAGAAGCCTCTGGGACAACTTCAAGTGTGCCAACATTCACATCATAGAGGTGCCAGAAGGAGATGAGAGAGAGCAAGACATTGAAAACTTATTTTAAAAAATAACGACAGAAAACTTCCCTAACTTGGTAAAGGCAACAAACATACAAGTCCAGGAAGCACAGACAGTTCCAAATAAGTTGAACCCAAAGAGGTCCACACCAAGACACATCATCATCAAAATGCCAAAGGTTAAATACAAAGAGAGGATCTTAAAAGCAGCAAGAGAAAAGCAGTTTGTTACCTACAAAGAAGCTCTCATAAGACTCTCAGCTGATTTCTCAAAAGAAACTTTGCAGGCCAGAAAGGAGTGGCAAGAGATATTCAAGGTGATAAAAAGCCAACGACCTACAACCAAGATTACTCTATCCTGTAAAGCTATCATTTAGAATCAATGGACATATAAAGAGTTTTCTGGACAAGGAAAAGCTAAAGGAGTTCACCACCACCAAACCAGTATTATATGAAATGTTGAAGGGTCTCCTTGAAAGAGAAGAAAAACTAAAATATGAACAATAAAATGGCAATTAATACATATCTATCAACAATTGAATCTACAAACAAAATGAGCAAGCAGAACAGAAACAGACTCATAGATACAGAGAACTTTTTGTTGCTTGCCAAATGGCTAAGGGATGGAGGTATGGGTGAAAAAGATGAAGGAATTAAGAAGAATAAATTGGTTGTTAGACTGATGAACCTCAAAGGGAAGGAGGGAGGACGGGCTGGATGAGATAAACCAAAGAACTTCTATGCACATATGCATAACCAATGGACACCAACAATAGTGTAGAGAAGGCAGGAGGCAGGTGGGGTTGGGGAGGGGTTCAATAGGGGAAAAAAAGGGGGGGAACATCTATAATACATTCAACAACAAGATGAGTTAAAAAAACTTTGTTTCAGGAAAAACACTAACATTACATTCATTCCTTCATTTTTAAACATTTTTGGTTTTATAAAATTATCTCTAATTCTGAAGTTTTTCCCTTCCTCCCACAATTCTCATTTTAGGTGTTTGCTAAAGAATAATCAATTATAAATGTATTTTTCAGCTTATCCTAAACTGCAAATCTAACTCACTCTTTGTCTCAAACTATGAAGAACAATTTTAATTATCAACAAGAATGAAACACCTAAATTAGGCTACTTAGTTGTTGAGTCTTAAAATGCTACTCAAAACTGCTAATCTTTGTAACACAATTTTTTCTGGATTTAGTCTTCAGAGCCAACCTATCCCATGTTTTCTTTTCTGCTTCAGTATCAATAATCTGTCTTGTTTATTTTAACTACTTTTATATTGTCATTGCTATTAAAAACATGAATTTTTACTACAGAAAAGTATAATAAAGGTTACCCATAATCTCATAACCTTGAAAATACCACTGCTACTAGGCAAACATGTACTTTTATTTCTCCCTGATTAATTTATAAATTTCATGGGTTTATGTTTAAATTAGTACGCCATGTAAAATAAGTAAATCTAGAGACTAAATAAATTAATGAAATCTGCTAAAAATATTCACAAGATAGGTTTAAAAAAATCATATCTAGCCCACCCAGTGTGGCTCAGTGGTTGAGCACTGACCCATGCAAAGAGGTCACTGATTCGACTCCTGGTCAAGGCACATGCCCAGATTGTAGAACTGATCCCCAGGGAGGGGGCATGCAGGAAGTGGCCAATTGATGTTCTCTCTCATCAATGTTTCTACCTCTCTCCATCTTCCTTCCTCTCTCTCTAAAATCAATTTAAAAATTTTTTAAAATCAAATCTATACAAATTAGAGATCATACTTTTATTCCTAACAGCTGCAGCCTTTACATTTTCTTGGAATGTTTACATGAGTACTTTAAGTTTAACTGGAAAGAGATGTCAAGCATAATAACATTCATCATAGTAACAGAACTGTGTGACTAGGATTACAGAAAAAATATCATACAAAGACAACTGAAAATATACATGGCTTTACTTCAGTTCTCAATTAGATATGAAAAGCAAAAACTAGTTGTTTCTCATTAAAAAGCTGTCTACAACTCATGATATATTTAAAATATTTTAATTTACATGGAGGTCATATTTTTTTAAATTCTGATAGCAAAGATAGAAAATACCTATATCTGCAAGCATATTTCCATTTACATAAACTCAATTTAAAAGACTGTCCCTTATCTACAAGTGGCTGGCACCGGAAACACCCCTTCTCATCACTACTGCTAGACATTTCCTTACCATTTCCTCTTGGCAACTACTTCAGATATCAGTACTGCCTGAAACACTAACCTTTACTTCCAGTGCTCACTTTCCCTTATACAAACTGACAAAGGATCTCTAAGTGGTGACACAATACAGGCAATAATATGGACAAGGGAGGGGGGGGGAGAAAAGAGGTAAAGGAAAAGAGTGCATTAAACCTACTTGCTAGTCTTTACCATAAGTCTATCCAATACCCCAAGTCTACTCTTACATCAACAAGCATCAGTTGCACAAATGGACTGGGGAAGGCGGAGAGAAATCTTTTTCTACCACAGCATGTGTCCTCAGCAAGTTTGTTCAACAGCTAAGATGCATTTTGAAAACCTGCCCCAGATCTCTTCCTCCTCTACCTAAATAAACATTAAGATCAAACATCTGCAATACGGTGAGTGGGGCAAAATGAAGTCCAGTGAGCTAAAGGGCCTAACTTCAAAGCCATGGAAGCCATGAAAGCTCCAACAAGGCACCGCTAAACCCGTAGGAATTAAGTTCTAACAAGGCGGTCTGACCCAGCAGCAAATCAAACAGGCTGGTAGGTACCCGGGGAGCTGAGGAGCTGGGGAGCCGGGGAGCCGGGGAGCAGGCGGCAACCCGGGCTGCTTTCAGTTCATCTTTCTTAAAAGGATTTTACCTGCGTCGTGTTTTACATTCATATCTCTTCAAACGAGCAACCTCCACTTCTTCTATGAGGGTGCACGTATTTGTGTGTGAGAAAAATAACCTCAGCACCCCAGCTAGAAACGGGGGATTGGAAGAGGTGGAGACTGAGTTCTTACACAGGCCTGGAACTATCCAGATGAGCCCTCGAAAAGGGTCCGGGCCTGAGCGAACGGCACTGGCTGAGGGTGACACTGAGCTCCTTCAGGCTGTAATGGTGATCCCCTGGCGGGAAAGTAGAAGTGACGAAGGGCTGGGGGCGATGTCCTTCCCCGGCCCCCACCCCAGCTTCCCCCGGCTCAGCTCAGTTTACCTTCCCGGTACTTCTTGCGGAGCCGCCGGTGGACGCTCTTCACCACCCCGGACAGCTTCTCTTGGTCCAGCTTCCGCTCCTGCTCCCGGGGGCGCAGAATGCCCGGGGACCCTGCCCGGTACCCGCGATCAGCACTTTGGCCGCCGACCTCGAGCTCTATGTCGCCCCCGCCACCGCCACCCCTCGGGCCCTTGCAGACCGCCATCTGACGAGGCAGGTGGGGAAGCTGGTAGTAACCGAGGGAGCAGCGGAAGACAAAACAGCTTGAGTGAAGGCCTAGGGACATAAAGCTTAGTCAAACTCCAAAAGCTGATTGGTGGACTACCGAAGGGTGGGTGGAAACGGAAAAGGCCAAAGGCCAATAATGAGAGCGCCCAGAGCGCCCAGAGTGGTGGAAGGATGGAGGAAGTGGGTGGGGGGAGCAAGGGTTAAACTCTGTTGTTTAGAAAGGGGAGCAGCTGGAAGAGGCAGAGCTGGCAAGCTGAGAGGAACTGAGTAGGTGGGAACAATAAACCCCACCGCTCCTCTCCTCTCCCTGCCCACCCGGATTTTGTGCGCAGGCGCTGTGATGAGGCTACAGAAAAGGGCTGTGCGCCTTGTGCTTGTGTACCTGAGTATGCTTAGTTTTGTAGTCATTTTGCGGTCCAATTTTTTTTCCACAACTTTCAGCCACCTCCTGCCAGTTATATTCTGGTGAGTTGAGGCTAGGGTTTGTTATAGATCTCTATCCTTGGAATTCAATAAAGAAAAACAACTTGTCCTTGAGCTGCCCTAATTAACAGCCTCAGGGACAACAAGAGAAACAATGGGGATGTTATAGACGGCTTTCACTGGGTTTTGAAAAGTAACAACATCCTTCAGAAAAAGGGAGGACAGAAAGGGCCCCAAGGCCAGAATATCCTGCATGTTCTGTAAATAAACTGATAGGGAGAAACTGAAGCTCCCTTTACCCCATAAAACTGTAACTGTTAAAAATATATGTATTGCACCTGGCTAACTGCTGCTATCCGCTTCTGTACAGTAGTACAGAAGCTTGCTCTGCTAAACTTTTGAGTAACCCCTGTCCTATATAAGCAACCCTCCCCTTGAGCTCGGGGCTGCAGTTCTCCTCTGTGTAGGTTGGCTGCAGTCCCTGCGCAGGTAATAAAGCTCACCTTTAATTCACCCAATTTTGAGTCCAAGTGAGGTTGGCTCTCCTGGGCTACAACATTTGAAGGCCCCAGCAAGATCAACCGTGAGGTCCTCCACTCTAAGGGGTTAACCTCCTCGGAATAGGCAGAGGGAGTCTCCTCATCCTCTGTCTCTACATTCAGCTTTCAATTTGGTTTGGAGCTTTCTGTTTTGTCTGGGACATCGGTAAGGGGAATCCCCTGTTGTTTGTTTGTTTGCACCTCGTGGCATTTGCATCTGTCGTGATTGCAGGCGGGACGCCTCACCAAGTGCACCCCACTTGTCAGAACAGGATGCTGTTTTATGACTGTTGTTTTGGTTCTGCTCTGCAGTACCGAGTTGGTTTGGTCACACGCGGCTGTAGTGTAATCTTTGTCTGTCTGTTCATGTTTCTTGTTTTGTGTTTTCATTACATTCTGCCTTCCAGGATGGGACAAGGAAGTTCTTCCCCCCAAACTCCCCTGGAATGTGTGCTTGCTAACTTTTCTGATTTCTTTAAGCGCTCCTGTTACTATGAAAAGCCTGCCGATCCTGGTTTCCTGAGAGTACTATATGAACTTGAATGGCCTGCCTAAGGGGTTAATTGGCCACCGAAAGGGAGTTTCAATTTGCAATTGGCTTTTATGGTCCGTCAGAAAATATACAGGAGCCTTGGTCACCTGGAACAAATGCCATATATTGATATTTGGATTGATATAACTACTGACAAACCCAATTATATTAAGAAATGTCAGTGTCCAGAGGTTCAAATGAAAGGAAAGTTTTGTTTACAATGCCTCAGCCTGCTCTGAAGGACAATTAACTCCTCCCAGCCCCCCGAGGAAATTCTATCCCGTTCTTCAGGACCCCCCTTGAGGATCTAGGATACTAATCAGACATTTTTAATATTCTGTGCCAAATCCTCAAAGACAAGGAATTAGAGAGAGAGAGCTCATGGAACCCTTAAGGTTCAAATTGAAAAAAAATACAAAAGGGGCTTAATAGGCCCCGCCACTTTATTGGGCTACTAATTGCGGGTACAGCGGCCTTAGTCACCAGTGTTGCCACTGCAGCTGGGGCAGCGGTGGCCTTAAGTCAGTCCATCCAGACGGGACATTATGTTAATGAGCTGTCTAAAAATGTTACAATTGCTTTAGGTACTCAAGAGGATATAGATAAGAAATTAGCCAAAAAAGTAAATGCTTTGTTTGACATGATAAATATATAGGACAGGAATTAGTAACTATGAAAATTAGAACGCAGCTGCAATGTCATGCAAAATGTCATTGGATTTGTATTTCACCTAAACGATACAATGATAATCAAATTGCCTGGGAAAAGATACAATCTCATTTGCAAGGTATATGATATATGCTAATGAATCAATCAATATTCTCCAGCTTCACCAAGAAATACAAATTAAAGGAATCATCGATGGTAAGAACCAACTAGAAAAACTTTGGGAATTTATAGAAGAAGTTTGTCCCTGGTTCCCAGAAGAAGGAACGATAGATTATATATATTCTTTAAAAGGAAATTGTTCTAAAACTGGTTGTTTCTGAATGGATGAAAGGTTTATGAAAGTTAAAATATTTGTGAAGAAAAATCTTACAAGAAAATCATAAATAAAATAAATAATAAATTTAATAAAATACATGAATCTAAAATAAATTAATATAGAGTTTATTTGGTTCTTTTTCAACATGTTAAAAGGGAAAAGGTTTTTCCCAATATTTGCCTGGGAAACAAAAATTATATATATTATTGACATGGTTTTATATTATGTTAATCAAGTACTTGATTCCTTAAAAAAACATTTTCTTAATCATAAAAACTGAAGTTTCACTGACCTATGTTTATGTTTAACATCTGTCGTTGCCACTTTAAATGAATAAATAATTAAATACTCTTTAATAATAATACTATATAATCTTTTGGTCAAATATGACCACCTTTCCAGGATTTGAATTTTAAGAAACTTTTTCTTGACCTGGAATTAGTTTTGAGTCATTCCAATAGGATCTGGAATTCCTCAAAGATTTGTTTTCTCTCCTTATGAAAGGAAATCAAATCAATGCAGATGGCTTAACGCAGTCTGTTTCCCCATTGGAATATAGATAAGAGGACAACAAACTCCAAATGCAAGAGCATACACACTACTAGGAATGATTATTTGTTCACTTAACAGATTCATAGAATGCCTCTTATATATGGGTCTCTACTAATGCTATGGGTTATGTAAACAGTTCTCACTTTAATGGGGCATTTAATATAAGATATTTTATAACATCATGCTTGGATTATTTAAAAAACAAAAAAAACAAGAACATAATTAAGCCCCAGAGGCCTGAAGATCAAGCTCTTTTTGGTTTAATTAAAAAAGTTTTCTTTTATGGTGCTAAAATGTACTCACAAATAAAAAGAAAAAAAATGAATCTGAGCTATAGTTACTATAGCATAAATAAAATGATGCCTCTGATGTACTTGCGTCTCCACCTGAGAAGGACTTTATGAAAAGGAAATTATAAAAATAATAAAGATTTAATATTTATGAATAATATAAAATTGACATAAAGGAATACAAAAGATGATGATTCTTTGCCGCTTTCTCCTGCCTTGTCTGCAGGGAAGGCTTCTCTCAGAGCCGCAGGTGTTGTGCCCCCTGTGTATGGGAGGACCCAGTGTCTGAATGGATATTAATGTATTTGGATGTACTGGCTTCTTTATGATGAGGTCTCAAGGCCTCTCTACAAGGCCTATTAACATTCTCACAGGCAAAGTATTTAACCATTGAAATGCCAGCCTAGGTTGCTCATCTGCAGTGGGTTTGATGGCAACTAATTTCCAACAGGCTTCTCTGAACTTTGGGTAATTGAATATAGGAATCCCAGGCATGGATACAAAATGCTTTTAGAGAATTAAAAAACACTCTGCCCCGCATAAACATACACATTAGGATGTTGCTCCCCTTTCCTGTGTCCTTTTGTAAACCTAGGTCAGAGGAAATGTTCCCATTTCTCTGCTTTCAATGGGACCCAAATACTGTCAGGGGAAAGGTTTCCTTAGACACTTTCCACTGTGTTCTCCTGTTAGGCCTATTGGCCCAATTGGCTAAACTAGCAAAGGTATTAATAGCTTCCTGAAGGGAAACAGGGCCCATAGAATAGGATCACCCTAGGAAGGGGAACATGAGGAAGGGTCAGGACAACAGGCCTAGGTCCCGATTAGGGATAGAAAAGACAAAGGCAAAGTCAGGTATAGAGGAACAAAATAAAAAGCCGTCTTTAATTTAGGAAAATAACAGGGCTAGGGCTCCTTCCAACTGAGCCCTCTGGAATTCAGAATCATACTAAATAATAGGGGACAAACTAGTTAGTTTCCTGGTAGACACTGGTGCAGCAGACTCAGTCCTGACAGAGCCATTGAGGCACTAACCTACCCCTGGACAAAGAGGACTATAGACCTTGGGAAAAATACTGTAACTCATTCATTTCTGTTCCTGCTGGAGTGCCCATATACCTCCTACTCGGACATGATCTCCTCCAGAGATCATTCCATTGCTAGCCACTGCCAGTGCAGACCAGCCCCCACATCAAGTTCCATAAAACATTGGCTGTCAATCCCCTGCCTCCAGATGATGACCCGGAGAATCCTCTGCAGGACTGCTTGGAGGCAATCAACACTGTGAATGGCTGCCAGACCTCAGGATGTCCCTCTGCCATCATCAGATGAGGTATTGTTCATGGACAGGAACAACTATGTCCAGGAAGAAATAAGGTATGCTGGGACAGCAACAATAACTCTAGACCATGTCATTTAGTCTCAGTCATTAAACAGAGGAACTTCAGCCCAAGGGGCTGAACTCATAGCCCTAATCCAGGCTCTCTGATGGGGCAAGGGGAAACTGTACTGCAAATAAGAAAGCTTGACATATGGCCCTAAAACCAGTGGGGACTTCTCCAGATATCAGTCACCATGCCAAACCCAAGTTTGCCTCTGACTCCTACTTACACTGGGTCAGAAAATAACTTAACCAAACAGAAACAAGTCAAAGAAAATCAACGAATAATAGACACTACCTGATGGGAGGTTATTAGTCTCAGA